ATTTCTTTACAGATTCTACTGTAGAACCATCACCAAAAGAAAATATAGAAGCAGAGGTTTGTTCCACAATTAAAGATCGCTCATCATCACTTAATGAATTCAAATATTCTTGAAGCCAATCTTTACCACACCCTGTATCCAAAATAGCACAACCCTTCACATCATACACCAGGGACTGCAATCTTGTACTATTAGTATGACCACAATGAGGACATTCACGTGACAAATGAAATTTTGAGTTGCATATGACATCTTGAAACCTGCCCACCATGACTTACAGGATTTAATTTATGGCTATGTGACTATATAGGAAGTTGCCTGGTTGAAGAAGTGTGACCATTCTGTGTGGCATGAGTATACAGTCAACCCTGTCCATGTCTGAATATCTGTAAAAAGGGTGACCTAACTTTCCGTTTTTATCTTGGGCTGAGGAGGTACATTTATCAATATTTGAAGGAGTATCTGAATGGCCAAAAATATGTTTAATGGTCTCCTTCATATTTTAGAAAGGCACTTCCCTCAATGCTGACATCAAGTGTGCATCCTTCTCACGAAGGTTTACAGATGAAAGGAGCATAAATGCCATTACTGGGTCTGGAAGAGTCATGCTTTCCTGTATAAACTTAAAGTAGGTGTGGTCAAAATCAATCAGAAAAAAAAAAACAATATTTCTGTTTCTGATGCTCTGTAGAAATTATTAAAAAGCAACAAATTGCCATCTCCATTTATCTGGCAGAAATAATTCATCCAGTTTTTGGATGATAGTGACCACACCCATCTCCATATGTTCATTATCTCAGAAGAGGCAGTTCTGCCCAATCCACTTAAAGATAGGTAAATGGCCAAAGCTTGTTTTAGCTTTGGAAGGTCAGTCAACCTACTCTAAATATGTATGCGTTTTTTCCATTGTTCATAGGCAGATTCATTGTCTAGATTCCACAGATCAAACAAATTTATCCCTTTCTTGGGTATTACTGATTTTCCAAGCATAGCTTAGTTGTGGCACAAGGCCGAAATTAAGAGGCACCCAGTGAGGATCAAACTCACTACTTAGTTGTAATTGTTCTAGTGAGACACGCTTGCTAACCATTACACCACCTTGAGTTGCCCCCCACCCTTTTGGTATTAACTTGATGTTAAACATCCTATCCATCATGATTCTGAATTAGAAGAATTTTGAGGATAAAAATTCAATCCAGTAGTCACACATCAAGAACTCATTCGTCCCAAAGTATAACTACTCTTAGAACCCAAGTGCCAGCCACTTGGCCTCACCTGCTTATATCTAAGTTGAGAAGTCAATGATTGGTTCTGGTGTGATCAAATTTGCATGATGTTCTTGTATATAAACAAGAGGTCTTAGTTCTCTAACATGCTCTATTAGTGAGTGTACTTCTTGATTCTATTGTCAGAATACAGCGGCTAGTCTGATTATTTTGAGGGGTGAACAGGTCTTACTAATAGTTTTGTTAGTTTACGGTTCATCCCCCCCACCTCCTCATTTCAGGTTTCATGAAATTTTTATATATTTTTGTACTTAAACATTGAGATTTATATCACTGGGTGTTTTTGCAGGTTGCCCCCTGTGAATATGTAGTATTGTGGCACATGTAGGATTGAATGGTGATGGAAGAGTTTGGTAAACAGATAAAAGTGTATCAGATGAATGGGTTGTGATTGCGATTAAGTAGGAATAGGATAGTGAAGACCAGCCCTTCCCCTTCAGCCATGTGCCAAAATTATTGTATTTTATACAGTAATATATTGTTCACCAACCTGCTCTATTAGTGAGTGTGCATCTTGATTCTATTGGAAGAATACAGCAGCTACTCTTATTATTTTGTGGAGTGTATGGATACTACTAACATCCGTTTTTTTGTTTTAGTTTGTTTTTTTAACAATCTTTTGTTAGTTTTCTGTGTTTATGACCTCCTTATGGTTTTCTCTCACACTCATTAAAATCCTGCAACTTAGTGGCTTTATTGCCTTGCTTTGGGTGAAATGATTTAAAAAAAAAAAATCATTTATATATTTCCACACACGCACACCGTATATTTTTTTTATTTTGCATAAAGAAAAAGAATGTTAATTTAAAACAAAAATACTATACATTTTTTCTTCTTAAATTAGAACTTAAAAAAAAAAAAAAATTACAAGAAACAGAAATTTAGTCTTTGTTCAAAAGTCAAAACATTACAAATGCTTTTTACGAGCGCACCTTAATTTTTCCATGTCCAGAAAATCCCCTACGTTATGTTGGATGCGTCAGTGTAAAACTTTTGCCTCCATTTTGGTTTGGATATATGCTGCATTGGTTGCTAGTATAGTTAATTTTTTTTTTTTAAAGATTGTCCAAATTTTTCGATTAAAAGGGGACAACTGTCGAGTGAGAGTTCCATTCCTTTAGTTAGCGCTACTGAACTGCTCCTAGCACAACTCCCCCTCCGCCCTTAACTTTCAATCCCCCTTCTGTCCTTAGTCAAGGAAGATCTGGAGCAACAATCGAGTAAAAAAAAAAAAAAAAAAAAAAAGTTAAATATTTAACAACTCAAGAGGCAAATTGAATTTAATTACATCAAATATTCAATCACAAACGAATTTTAAAAGAAAAATTTACTGTTCACATTTAAATTTAAATAAATGTAGAAAAATTTCCTGTTTTTCACTCCCAGTAACCACCCTGTGTCTTAGTGGCTTTATCGCCTGGCTTAAGGTAAAATGATAAAAATAGTCTTCAAAACTGAAAATTATAACAAAAATCCTGTAAGTGTTGCCAAGTGTTCTAAGCAACTAGTTAGCGATATAAGAAAAAAATGTGTTGAATTCACCACCTACATTACCATATTACAAATAAATAATTTTTAAAGTCATTTAAAAAAGCTATTATGCAAAAGAAAAAAAAAAAAGTTACTTCATATTTCAATCAATCTCGATATGAAAATTTCCGACAGAAAAAAAAAGCACCTGGTTGTTTTTTTTTTTTTTTTAAATGACAGTTTGAAATATTTTTTTCTAAATTTAGATGTGACATATTTTACTTTGACAAAAAAAAAAAAAAAAAAAAAAATTTTCTTCGTTGAAGATTCTAAAGACAAGAAAGTTCAGGTGTCATTTTCCTATCAAAATAAAACGAACCCACTACACAGCAATGCATGTGGGCAAGGGAATGAAACTGAAAAAACTTTCAGAAAAAACAGCATTTAGAAACTAGTTATATTAGCTAGGAGGAGTTCAGTATAAGTTATTCGGCAACAATCTTTTTTCTTTTGCCCCCCCCCCATTTCCATTGAAATTTAATAACCCATACACGTTACAGTTTAAAAAAAAAATGTATTATTAGTACATTTTTTAGTTTTTATTTTAGTAATTAACGTTTTTAATCGCAAATAGAAACATCAAAGCGTTAACAAGTGTTTTCCCAACAATTAGTGCTTAAAGCGAGTTTACCCATTGACATTGTTCACATGGTCACATAATTACAAATGTCCTGCCGGCAATTATCAAATTCATTGACACTAACTACTTGTAATTAGTTTTAGAATTTAATAAAACCATCTATCACTCCAAACAAGAGAATCAGATCGTCCCAAAACACAAACCAAACCAAACAGAATCCTTCAATTTGGAGGGAATATAATTTGTCAAAAAAGAAAGAGGTAGGGAAGTTCTAGTTAGCGATAGAGGAAAAAAAAAAAAAAACATTTATTTTAGAAATATTAAAGTTTATTATTATTGGGGAGGGGGAACATAAACTTAAACGTTTCGAGTTTAACAATTCAAATCGTTCGCGAGCTGATGCATAAAAAAAAAAATAAAAATAAATTAGAAAAGTAAAACTAAACAGTGAGTAAACACTCAAAGTTAAAAGAACGGTGTTGTTGCGTAGCGTAGACACTTTTTTGTTTCAGGCAATTTTTTTTTCAGCAAACCACTTTGCAAAACATAACTATGTTTTTCACGTGCTTTTTACAAATTAAATTTTTATAGTATCCGTGTTTTTAATATTTTTTGTACATCCAAAAAGGAGAAAACTTATTTTTTTTTTTATAGAGTTTTTTTTTTTTTTTTTTTACTTAACGCACAACTATTTTTTTTTTTTTTTTTACTCTGTGGAAGTGTAACAAGCAAAAAGCAAGTGTTGTTAAAAAATGAAAACGTTGTACATGGCGCACTTTGCTTTAAATTTGCGTGAAATAGACAAAAAAAAAATTCACTTAAAGAAAATTATGTTGAAGAAAAAAAAATCGGTATTTTACTTACCTTAAAATTTAAATCAAACCTATCACCGAGCAGGTTGTTGTAAATGTCCAGGTTATAAAGTGGAAAAGCCGGTCTGTTTAAACTTTTTAGTTTTTTTGTGGGCTATTGAAATTTTTTAGCAAGCAAGTAAACAAAACAAAAAAAAAGAAAAAAAAAAAAGTAAACTTATTACTTTCAAAACTTGTATTTATTTTTATTACTTAAAAGTTTATATATTTTTTAGTTTTTAAAGCTTCAAATTTTACTAAGTTTTGAAAAAGAGAAGAAGACAACTTTCTTCCCGCGATGAATACAGAAAAAAAAATCAATTAAAAAAGTTAAAAATTTACACAATTCGAGCTTTTAAAAATTTGAGTAAATGTGAAAATAAAAATAATATAAATGATTATCGTTTAAAAATTAGGAATAGCAAAAGACATTAAAAAACAAAGCTGTGAGCCACACGTCTATCTACATTACATACTACACACCAACAAAAACTAAAAGTCTATGTGCGAATGTCAATGTGGCAAACTTATAGTCTAGGAAAGTGGTGGTAGAGGTGGGGGTGTGAAAGAACCTGACCGCTGACCTCTGACCGTGTTCACATACACAGGCATCGACAACATGGCGGCAAAACTAAAGTTTAATTTCTCATAACAAATCGCACGTACACGTTATTTGCAACGCTTTTGTTATTTCTGTTTCGGTTTTTCCTAAGTTAAATGCTTGTTTTACAACGATAGACTATAAAATCTTTGATGACCATGGCACAGCGTAAGTATAACCAGTAGAACTATTTTATGAGGTTCGTATTTAAAAGAAGAAGCATAAAAATGTGGGTAGAGCTTTTAATTTCTGATTTAAAATGTGTCATTTTGCTATCATACTTCTTTTTTGTTGTAGTTTTTTTGCAGTTTTAATCACCAATATGTTTTAGACAGTTTTATATGGTAAAAATATCAATATTGAATTAACTTAAAGTTAAAGACATTTTTTGTTTACATACAACATGTTGAGACTTGTCGGTTTTGTTTTTGAATAAGCGCATTTTAAACGTTTTTTTTCCGTATATAAAAATCCTTTTAGTAAGTTTAACTAATTAAGATTATAATTCTTGTTATTTTAATTTTAATAATTTGAAGCTTTTTTTATTTTACAAAAATTGCTATCAGAACTTTAGTTTTGTTTGAATGAATGAATGAAATATCGAACAGCCAGAAGAGAATAGTAGTAGAGAGTAATCAATTTTTTTGTTTATTATAGTTTGTTAATCCTTTACTTATTCAAATTATTATAGAAACTAGTTTTAGCTATTAATGTTAAACTTAATCAGTCTTGGGCGGTTACTTCTTAAGCACCATTTTTGTTATTTCAATTGAAAAGTGAAAATTGTAAACACCTCTTCTTATCGTGTCTTTTAAACGTGTTCTTTGATTATCTCGGATAATGTGAAATAAATAAACTACAAACCTTTTTACTTTGTTTTATAACAGAAGTAAATTTCTTAAATTAAATAGTTATCTCATAATTGAATGAATCTCTTCTGTACTAAACTTCATACTAATAAAAAAAAACGAATATATTGTAAAAATGTCTTGCTACAGGAAAACCGAAAACACGAAGAAAAAAATTGAAAAACTGAAAAGAAAAGTATTCGGAACAAATTCTAAACTCTTATTTTTGAAATAGAAAATTTATTAAAATATAATCTAATGTCTAATTAAATGACAGCGATATTTATATTTGTTTTTAAAAATAACATCCACAAAAAAAAACAAAAAACAAAAAAAAAACAAAAAAATCCAAAATTTTTTTTTCTCATTCAAACTTTATTTTTGACCAGACAGTTTGTAATTAACGACAGTTAAATTTAAAATAAAATGCTCCACATTGTCCTACCGTACTTTTATCTTTGTTAGATTCTCTTTTTTTTTTTTTTTTTTGAAATTGCGAAAATTTGACGGATATTAACTTTGTTGAATAACCATTTTTGTTTTTTATAGGTACCTCCACTAAATCGCTAAAAAACCAGTAGACCGTGATGAAAAAATGCTCTCTAAACGTTATGAAAATAGTTTTAACGTCAAAAAATCTTTATTATAAAGATTTTGACGATAAAACTGTTTTCATTATGATTTTAGAGAGCATTTTAAAAAAATTAATTGAATATCCAAAAAATACTTTGAGTCTTCATCCTCTTAGTTTTAAAACATAAAAACTGTTATTATTAAATTAAGAAGACTAACAGGAAAGATCAAAGTATTTTTTGAATATTTAATTAAATGTTTTGTTTTCCAAGGTGTAGCTGTGAAATATTGAGGGATAATGATGACAAAACATGTTTTATATTCAACAAAACAAGATAAGGAATTTATTTATACATTTGAAGTTGTCAGTATGTTGATGACGGTGTGGGTTTAAGTGTTGTTGAATTAGGAACATGTGCGTTTATTTCCTGCTAGAAGGTCCAACTACAAGAATATGGCAGACTCAAGTTGAGTACAACCGAAGATGAAAAGAAAACAAACAAGACCGATATATCAACAAATATATGTATTAAACAACAAATTTACAAGTGACAAAGACATCAACATTTGTGTTTGTGTGTGAACGTAAAGAGTTTGTATTTTAGTGAATGTTTGTACATACGTGTATGTGTGTTTTATGGCGTTTTCCCACAAGTGGGTGAAAACGCGGATCTCTGTGACAGATCATATTTTTAAATGTGTCTGCTGAAATGCAAAGTAAAAAGAGAACGAGGCAAGAAGTCGCCCAGTATTTATAGTGTAGGGAGAGCGACACCTAGTGAACAATTAGGAAATTAAGGAGGCGCTAACTCCAACAAGTAGCTTGTTTCAGGAAAAGGAATCAAATATTTAAAGTTTGTAGCTTCAATGAATTGTCAAGATGAGAAAGTGTTCATATTAAATCATTGGACACAAATTAATATTCCAAAATGTTTCAAACAAATTGAGATAAAAGTTATATGGTTGTATTTAACATGATGATCTGTTTATATTTCTGAGATGAGGTATTATGTACATTATTTACATTATTCGGACTATTGTCCTCATCTTTGTCGGCTTATTTATTACAATGTTTCGGCCATTGTACGCTCCAGCCTTCTTCAGGTGGTTGGAATGTCAAACTGAACCATTTATTTCACTCACTGGGGTAGACTGTTCTAGTTTCATGTGCCATGTCTAATGGACGTCACTTATCTCCTTTTAATCAATCAGTTATCTCAAGGACACATGGCACAGTATATAAAGGTGTTAGTGACAGGACCCAAAGAGTGTGAGTTCAATACCCGGCTAAGGCAGTGGAGAACTTGGAGAATTAACAGGAGATAACTGATAACTGACATCCATTAAACATGGCACGTGGAACTAGAACAGTCTACCCCAGTGAGTGAAATAAAGGGTTCAGTTCGACATTCCAACCACCTGAAGAAGGCCAGAGTGTACAACGGCTGAAATGTTGTAATAAATATGGTGACAAAGATGAGAACAATAGCCTGAATAATGTAAATAATTAATATGATGAATTAGAACATCTTCAGTTTTCAATGAATTCTTTGCTTGCTGAAATCCATTGACATCCCATCTCCAAGAGAACACCTTTCCATAAGATAATTAAGAAAACTCGACTTACCTGCAAATTGGGGACATATCTAGCATGAAACAGGAATAAGCACAGAAAGTCCTTGAGTTCTGTCACATTGCAAAAGGACAGTGTATCCTGGATGGCACAGATTTCAACCTTGATAGGATACAGAATTTGAATTTAAATGGAGCTGCAGGTTGTTTAATGGTTAACAGAGAAAATAAAATTTGAAAGCTGAGTTCAAATTCTGCATCTTCTGATGACTTAAATAAATGAAGAACACTGCCATAATATTATATTTGTCCAGAGAGATGAAGTGATTGGATTTCTTTAGCACTTTGTCATAGTTGGTCATTGTATAGAGTCTGATGATCCTATTACTAATATGTTGTCCAGATAGCAGACAATATATGGTTGATTTGCCAAAAAACTCCCCATTGCCAAATGATAATGGCCATATGGCATATTGATAGTGAGGCACTTTCACACAAAGGAATAGATTTGACAATCTTAATAACTGCAGCTACTGGAATGAGCTATTCTGAATTTTATGCTAGTTCAATAATGCCAAAAGACTCAAGATGATAAAGTTTTGTCCATTTATCACACAAGACAAATGACATGACAAACTTTGCAAATTATAGGTTTTGTTTCTGGGTCAATATTTAGTTTTGCAGTAAAACTCCTTAATCTACTCAATTCATCTTTTGAAAAAATCAGAATTCTTTGCTATAATGTCTTTGATGGCAGGTGTTGTGTTAACAGTGGATATATTTTCAAGTGAGTTGCATGATTTTCCTGAAGTATAGGTACAACACCTGGAATGAATACTATTAATAGCTGAAATTCTGTACTATCATAGTTTCCAAATGGCTCAAAAGTACCACATGGTGTGATGCTTTCTCCATTGTAGGTTGATAACGTCTGTGATATGAGTGTCAGTTTTGGTTTGTTAGGTTAACCCCACAGCTTATTAAATGCAGTGCAACTGATCAGCAAAATGGCAGTTCTTGTGTTAGCATTCTTTTAAACATAGCAGCCATTGTTACTTATCAGAACCTTTGTGTGATCTATTTGGTTATTCTTGTGGAGTTTAAGCAGAATCACAATCTGTAAGGTATATATGATTTTGTCAACTGGTTCTCCACTACCTAATCTGCTTTCCAATCCTATCTATATGCTTCTGTGTCAAAGAAGCTTGCGATTTTTTAAAAGTATTATTGTTCACTCAATACAAGTCCCAAGAATCACTCAAGGTAGAGGATATCTGAATGTGGTTGTTGTAAGGGTGTAAAGGCAGGCAGTAAGAAGTGCTTATTATGAGTATATAGGATAGATAACAGTTGACCCTAGACTTGAAGAATTTAAGATTGTAGTGTTCAGGGAGCATACTCTTGGGAGTCTGTTCCACAAAGTGACAGTTCTGGGGAAGAAACTGTCTGAATGGAACTTCCTCCTTACCAATGGAATACATAGGGACTGAGGAGAAATTGACCCTGTGTACATGGAATGGAGTGTCTTAGCTGTAAAGGCCTAAACTGGCAAATCTTCCTCCTTACCAATGCAATACATAGGGACTGAGGATGAATTGACCCTGTGTACATGGTATGGTTGGTCCTAACAGTGAAGGTTTGAACTGTGGCCAGTTTTTTGACAAAAATTACAAGATTCTACAATAAAGAGATACGGCACATAGAAGAAAAATGATTAAAAAAGGCCCACTGTGTTGAAATGTGATTTTCTCCTCATTTTCAGTTTTATTTATTCTTTCATTTCATTATTGTCACCAGCGTTATATTTTGTTCTCCAATATCCAGGCTGGAAATTACCAGTGTCACATCAGTTACTTGTGTTATAGGGATACTTTATTAGCCACAATTTTGTTGCTGTAAAATATTTTCATAGAGTAGCTAATGTAACTTAGTTGTTTTTAATGGAAATCTTTAAATAGAGAATTAGAAAACGATTGTTCTCTGAAAGGAAACAATGTCAGTAGACACCAACTAAAAAATAAAACATTGAAAGATTATCGTGGTAAATCCTAAACCGTCCAGTCTATCTCAAATATAAAGCCACCAAAGTTTATGCATTGGATAATCTTATGGGTGTCTCAACCATTGTTTTACTAATTGAATTACTGTTTCATATTTGATTGTATTTAACTTATGTTCATTCAGTCAACCTGAATTTTAATCCATGTTGGATTATTTAATAAAATTTGTTGATAAAGTTTGAAAAAGTTACATTATCATCTGCTCCTTAAACAAATATAAAGAGTTGCTTGATAAATAATCATACATCATATATTCTATTTTTTGGGGGTTTTATTTTACAGTCTGGCAGCATCCTTTTGTGAATTTGTTCAAACAGTTTAGCATTTCAACATGGATGAAAAGTACCAAAGAAGGCGAAGTTGTCTCGGTAATGGTGAGTACTGATTTCAACATTTTATACCAAGTTTTATGCTTATTTGAATTATCATAATTTTACACTTTAAAGGATTTTGATTTATCTTGATGTGAAAAATAAGCAGATGGGTAGTTCAAAATAAATGGAGCTGCAGGTGGTTTGATGGTTAACAGCACAGAAAATGGAATTAGCAAGCTGAGTTCAAGCTCTGACTGAAATAGTTTGTGTTCACTTTATAATAATTCATTTCAGAAAGACATTAATCAGTCTTTTATACCTCCAGCTGTACATTAAATAGCCGGATAGACAAGGTTCTCTAGCCTTGAGTGGCAACCAATCTATGAGAAGGATAATTGAATTCAAAACTGAACAAAGCAATGGTAAATCAATCTATTATCTTTTTTGTTAATTTCTTAATCAAAATGATTGCAAAAGTTTTCCCCCTCCCCCTCTTATAGTCAGAAGGACACAGAATGGTATTTACTTGATTCCCACTAAATCAAGATATGACACAAGGTCGATTAACGTGGGAGACCCGAGTGTTTCCACTCATAGGCCACTGGTCAAAATTTGGTCAGAGCTTGTCCAAGCTGGTCAGAGCCTAGTCAAAGCTGGTCATAACTTGTCCTAACAGGTCCAGGCCGAAGCCAGTCCAAGCTAGTCAAAGCTTGATCGAATCTCAGTCTTCCACCAAGAAACGATCCATTACTTGTCAAAACCCCCAGCCAAAAGGCCGGGGCTGGGATATTTTTCTTAGCCAATAAAATAGTATGGCTTGCGTTTTGACATGATTCTGTCCAAATCTGCCTCAACTACTAACCTGACATACTATGTTCACTTGGTCAACCTTGCTTTTGTGTACAAACACCAACTCTTAGTTTGTGAATTCTTTTGTCTTTTTTATCAATTTTGAGTTGCTTTAACAATATTATTGGCTTGCTTTATTAATTCTGATTGTGTTATTTATCTTGCACTTTAACAATGGCTTCTAACTCACCATTTTTAAAAAAAAACAATGCTGGCAATTTTAAAGAAATGGAAGCTGTAGAATACCATTATAGTATACACACTGAAGTGACATGGTGCTTAAATGCGATTAGAGTCAAAAATGCTTTAATTGTGCCTAATACATTTTGCTAGGGAACAGTGTTTATCATACTTGTCTCACAAGTAGATTTTATTGAAATGAGTTTGCATCTATTTTTTAGTTTCAAAGAGGCAGGTTGGAATGATTATTCTTTTTTGGAGAAAAATCCACCTTCAATATCCTTATTCCAACCACCCCTTTTATTAAAAATTCAGGAAATTTATCCATCCTGAATATCCTTATTCCAACCACCCCTTTTATTAAAAATTCAGGAAATTTATCCATCCTGAATTATCCTCATTCCAACTACCCCTTTTATTAAAAATTCAGGAAATTTATCCTTCCTGAATATCCTTATTCCAACTACCCCTTTTAATAAAAATTCAAGAAATTTCCTCTTACTTCTTAATGTAGGCTGTGAGCATTTTTGGACAAAGCATTTCATTATAGAAAATTTTTTTAAAATTCCTTTTATTCTAACCACTCAATCTATTTGAAACTAAAGTGTAAGGCCTATATTTAATGCACTTATAAGAACATCCCCCACCTAGTTTCTACAGGGGATATTAAAAGCCCTTGTTGCATAATACATTGAATGTTACTTGAGCTCCTTTTTTTTTTTTTATTTATTTATTTCCTTGGTCCTAAAAAATTTTATGTATTTATTTCAAATTTATGAAATTGTAATGGGTGTGCGTGAGAATAATGCATCTTCTATTCTGGGGATGGTCAAACTGTGGATTTGTAGTTCTTTGACATTTAATGTGTGGCTCATGGAAATTTTGGCCAAGTTCTTTTTCTTGTCACAGTTAATATGAAAAGTAAATAAAGAAAAAAGAAGAAATTTGACCCTATTTTAGTTATTATTTATAAATATAGTGTTTAAAATTTGCTACATTTATAGGAGAACAGTACTAATTATCAGAGTTTTTATAGATATAGACAGTGTGGACATAGGAATCAACACTGCAGTTTGATTGCACACAACCTTGGTTACAACCATTAGGCAATAAATGTTCACACACACACACACACACATATGAGGAAGAGCAGGATGTGTATATAAATCTATATAAGAAAATTAAGGGAAATGAGGGCAGGGAGAGGAAACTGGCCCTTCCTAGTTTTTTTTTTTTTTTTTTTTTTTTTTTTTTTAAGGCTAATGCCCAAGTTTTGTTATGACCTACCTTGCTTATTTATGCTAGTTAAGTGGTTGGAGGAAGTATGTATGTAAATAGGCTAGGGTTATTTATGATCATGACCTAGGTTGCATATTTATGTATATATTTCTGCCTGAATTTCTGAGATTAGGAGTTATCAGTATTTGCACTTGGATTATTGTCTTCATCTTTGTCCTTATTATATCTTATTTATTTTATTCATTTAAACTAGCAGGGACCATGTAAATTACACAGATTTACTAATAAATTTTTTAATGCTGCACTTTGTACTTTTCTACCTATGACCATTCTCAGATAGTTATAAAAAAAAAGTGACGTAGACCCTCATAAAAATACTGGATTGTTGTATGACGTACAGCTTTGTTAATAATCTGAAACCATTTTTCATAAAATGGAATGGAATAAACATAAATTATATACATTTTCCCTGCATGAAAGATAATAGAATTACTTAATTTCTCACAATTAAGGTATGAGTTGTGTGTAATTTGGAGATGTATGTGTGCATTAGAGATAGGCTGCAATAAAAATGATATTTTCTTGTTATGATGCATTTAGTTTTATTCCAAAAATGGTTGCAGATATATATATATATATATATATATATATATAATATAATATAATATAAAATAATATTAGTGTTTAAGCCTTTTTATTATATCCTTACTCTGTCCTGGACATTGAGTTCTACCTGGATTCTATCCTCTCGGAATTTTTTATTAAAAAAAAATATACATATATGTGTATGCACCTATGTATATATATCTATGTATTTTGCATATGTATGTGTATATTTACCGCTATATTATTCTCTCTCTCTCTCTCTCTCTCTATATATATATATATATATATATATATATATATATATATATTAAAGACATTTTTATGTTTAACGTTGTTATTTATAGATACAAGTATTTAAGCAAATGCTCTGTTTATGATAAACAGTATTAAATAACATTTACGGCCTGAATGTCCGAGAAATTTTCATAGAAAATATTCGTTCTTTGACAGGATTCGAACCAGCATCCTTTACAGAACCGTCATTTACGCTGACGTGCCTTATCCGATCGGCCACAAAGGAGCGTTCGGTAGACAAGGTCGAATTTACTGCTTATAAACTTCAATCTTCCATGAATCTCGTACATTCATAACTGCTCTGCTTAAATACTTGTATCTATAAATAACAACGTTAAACATAAAAATGTCTTTAATAAATAAATTGTCGGACTGTGTCCATTTCTTATATATATATATATATATATACACACACACACATTAAGGTCATATGAGAACATAAGAAAAAGAATGGAATTCTTAATAGGTTTGTAAATATTTAGAAAGGAATAATAGATTTACTACACCAATAGTGCACTCTGCTAGTGGGTACAGAGATAAACTCACTTCCTGTGCACAGCTTTATGGAAGACTCTGCAAATGTATAAGTAAGCTTGACTTTTCTCTTATTGTAGCTATAGAGTCAAGTCATTGGTATCACAGTACTTTGTTATAAACAATATTTCTCATATATATAACACCATGTTTCATGCTTTAGATGTCACTTATTTTGACTTATTTGTTACTGGCCTTCCTTCCATTTCTATGTATTCATAAAAGCCTTATTGAATTTCTAATCTGAAAAATACAAACTATATTTATATGGTTTAAAAGTGGTACTCTGCTTGCAATCAGAATTCATCGTGAATTGAACCCAAGATGACATTTACAGGGTTACTTCCCGCAGTCCATAACAAATTTATGAAGAGAACATTTAAAAAAAGAAAAAAAAAATTAATTTCAAAAGGTCACTCGCAGTTTAGGGGCAACTTTGTCTTCAACAGATCATTAGGTCATGAAACATGATTTAACCTCTCACTATAAACAATTGCCTTTATCTTTGATGTCCTCCTTCCAATCCCTCTCTGTGTCACACATTTTTGATTTTTTTGTGTCTCTCTTTCTCTGTTTCCCTCTCAGTATTTTTGATACTAAGCATGGCACACTATACATAGGTAGGTACAAGTGTATTAATATAGAAAAGATTATTCCTTTATTAGTTTTTATTTTTTCCTTTTATGTATTTCTCTTAGTTTCTAAGTTTTGGTATTTGAAATAAAGTTTATTTGATTTGTTACAGGATTTTATTCAGTCTTTTGGTCATGAAGTTGTAGATAGTGCAGAAGGAATTTGTTTTTATGTTTGCATTTGTAAATGATTTTTTGTTTATGAGTTTATTTTGTTCTGGAAAGGTGATTATAACTATTTTCTCCTAGGTAAGTTTAACATCAGTTTGTAATGTTCTAAGCTGGTGCTGTTTTTTTTTTTTTTTTCCAAATTACTTTTGCTATATTTAGTTATTTTTTATTTTTTTTAGTTGCCATATATGTTTTGATAGGGTTGTGTCGTTTGCATATTTTCTTTTGTTAAATGTGATGTTTTGCATGAGTAGCCTCTCTGTTTTCAGGAATCTTTTGTTGTTCCTATAAATATTTTTCTGTGTTTCCTTTGAATCTAACTGTAGCTTTGTATATTATATAAATTATTATTTATTATTATCAGTCTATTTTTATGCTGCTTGCTGAAATACAAATTAATCTATTTTTCTTTATTGTTCTTATCATTTTTTTACAAAATTTAAGTTTCAAATTGGACTAAATCAAGTAGTCCTAAAGTAGGTGTGTTCTGTCCCCGAGGGTATGCATCCATGGTCATATGCATGCATAAATAAATGCCTTAAGGCAATTAATAGT